CACACACACACACACACACATAGGCAGACACACACAGCGAGGGGGCAAAACACAGAGATCACCTGGGCCACACCAATGTCGAAAACGGCATTTTCGACATTTTCTCCTCGCCACACAGCATGTCGAAATCCGAGATGCGAAAAAAGTCAGGAGCTGTCAGGGAAAGGGTTTCCACACCTCCTCTCGAGACGGGCTCATTTCCACTTCAGGCCTGCAACTTGGACATTTTCAACAGTCGTCCAATGGGATGTTGAGTTCTTGCCCAAATGTCGAGAAGGAGAACGGACCAACGATTGTCCTATCTTCACCCCAGTTTGTCTCTTTTGTTCATAGGACTTGTGAGTTCTTCACTTCGACATGCTGTGTGGCGGCCTATGACACGGTGCAGGCGTGAGGGTACGGTCAAGAGGTGCCTTGTAGTCGTGCAGTCTGGGCCGAATTTGTTTTCGACATTCACGGTTTCGACACAATGGCCGTAAGGTCAAGAGGTGCCTTCGAGTGGTGCAATCTTTTGTTTTGTTTTCTTTTTGGTATGGGCATAGAAAAATGGGGCCTCTCCACACTACTAACCAAATGCACAAAAGACGAAAATGATGGTGGTGCATCTTCCCATGTTCGAGCAGAGAATTCATTCTCATTTCGTACATTTGGTGAGTAGTGTTGCCAGACGCATGGTTTCCGGGGCAGTAGAACAACAGACACCGATCGTGCGGCCGAAAGAGGGAATGTCGAGAATTTCCTGACATAGGGCCTCGCCACACCTATCCCGAAAACGGGAAAATGTTCGAGAGCGCTCTCGAACTCGGGAAATCGCAAAAAACGGTTGGAGAGGCCTCATCGCCACACTGCGCTCTCGAAGGGGGCGCTCTCCACTGTGTCAGAAAAGAACGGCGTTTTTTGAGAGTGCAGTGTGGCGGTGCAAGGGCCTTGCTCCACTACTCACCAAATGTGCAAAATGAGAATGAACCTTCTGCTAGACCATGGAAAGATACACCGCCATATTTTTTGTCTTTTGTGCATGTGGTGAGTGGTGGACCGAGGCCTCGGTTCGAGAGTTCTCTCGAACCAAACATCACAAAACGCTTGTCCGTCGCAGCACACTCTCGAAATTTGGGCCGAAATCGGGTGCGCCTCGGACCGCTCTCCAAAACGGCCTCTTTGCAGGCGGGCACTCCCGAAAAGTTCAGGAGCGCTCTCTCCAACCGCGCTCTGACCGCTCTTCGACTTTTTCAAGATAATGGGTTTGGAGAGTAGGTGTGGCGATGCTTCCCCTCCTGCCCTCCTGAAAACCCCGTTTTCGGGATAGGTGTGGCGAGGCCCATATGTGGAATGTTGTGATGTTTCGACATTGGTGTGGCGAGGTCCTGAATCTTCGAATCATTTGTTAGTGCAGCGAGGCCCAATTGCTCTGTCTTGTGTAGAATACCCGACACTGTTCACAAATGCGCAAAAGATAAGAAGTGATGGCGGTGCATCTTTGCATGTTCTAGCAGAAGATTCATTCTCATTTTGGGTCTGGCCGCACCACTGTCGAAATGAAAAAAAGTTCGAGTGCATTTTCCCGTAGAGAATGGCAAGATGCATTCTTTACTATGAATAGCAACGGATGCATCTTACCACTTTCTGGGGTAGATGCATCCTTTCTTTTCCCGTTTTGACAATGGTGGGGGAGGCCGTTTGTACATTACGGATGCATCTTACCGTTTTCTGGGGTAGATGAATCCTATCTTTTCTCGTTCCGACAGTGGTGTGGCGAGGCCCGTTGCACATTTGGTGAGTAGTGCGGCGAGGCCCATTCTCCCACGAGATATGACGTTTTGAGTATTCCAAAGACTGTGGGCCTGGCTCCGCTACTCTCGAAATGTGCAAAACGAGAGTGAATCTTCCTCTAGAACATGGAAAGATACATTCCCTTATTTTGTCTTTTGTGCATGTCCAGAGTGGTGGAGCGAGGCCTTACGGGCCTCGCCACACCAATGTCGAAACTGGGGAATATTTGACAGCTGTCAGACCATTTTCGACATCCATGTCGAAACCGGGAATATTCGACAGCCGTCAGACCTTTTTTTTTTTTTTTTTTTTTGCCGGATGGACGGTCTGTGAACTCCCTCAATTATGGGCTTGCCACACCACCGGTGAAATGCAAAAAAACTTGCTGTCAGAAGAAATTCGACAGCCGCGGCCCCGTCAACTGTTTCCCCCCTAGGATTTGGCCATACAGCACTGTTGAATGCGTGAACTCATGAATGCAAACTGAAAGCAGACAAGCACACCTGAATTGCTGTCAGAAGAAGAAATTCGACAGCGTTTGTTAACTGTTTCCCCCCTCTAGCCACACAGCACTGTTGAATGCACGAACTTGTGAATGCAAGCTGAAAACAGACATTGTCAAGCACACCTGAGGATGGGACACGCGTTTGTTCGTTCGCCTTTAACAGTTTCCCCCCTTAAGCTACACAGCACTGTTGAATGCACAAACTCGTGAATGCAAGCTGAAAACAGACAAGCACGTCTGAGGATGGGACAAGCATTCCTTCACCCGCTCAACAGTTTCACAAACTTAGTTTCACAAACTTAGTTTCACAAACTTTCTCCCCTTTTAGCCACACAGCAATCAGTCTCAGTCTGTTGAATGCACAAAAATCGTGGATTCCGAATTCAAATGCAAGCTGAAAAGCCACACAGCACTGTTGAATGCACAAAACCCGTGAATGCAAACTGAAAAGTTGTGAAAACAGAAAATCATGCCTGAGGATGGGACAAGCGTTCGTTTGTCCCTTTAGACACACAGCACTGTTTAATGCATGAACTCGGGAATGCAAGCTGAAAAAAGACAAACACGCCTGACGATGGGACAAGCATTCGCTCATCCCAACCTCAGCCCCGTTCACACATCCCGATGAGAGCTCGATAGTGGAGCGGAGGACTGTCGAAAACGTCAGAGTTGCAGGCAGGGGATGGAAACACTATCAAAAGGGGAGGCATCGCGAAGCTTTTTCATTATGATCGAAATTAATTTGCCCCCATCTTCATTATGATAGCAGAGGACTGTTGGCGATGAGAAACTATCAAAAAATGGATTTTCGACAGCGGTGTGGCGAACCCCTGACGGAGTGTCTGGGCCTCACGACACCACTCAGGAAACAAGAGAAATGTGCGCGCATCTTCTCAAAGGTGGCAAGAAGGCATCCGGTCCCATGAAGAGTAACACATGTATCAGTCAGGGGACCTCGTGTGGGAAGATGCACTCACATTTTTGTGTTTCATGAGTTGTGTTTGTGAGGCCCACGGGAGATGTGACCTGGGTCATTTCGTTTTCAGCAACGTGTTTCAGGGCCTCGCCACACCAATGTCGAAACTGTGAAAAATTCGAAATTATCAGACCATTTTCAACGTTCACGGTTTCGACACAATGGCCGCCTTCGCCACACAGTATGTAGAGGACCCGGGATAAAGAGGGGGGGGGGAGGAGGGGGGGGGGGGGGGGAGAAGAAGAAGAAGAAGACACGAGATGTTGAGGTCGCGTCCTGAAAGATGTCGAAATTCGCACATTTTTTCACAAGCTCCCTTTCGTGGTTTCTAGTTTCGGCCTACCGCAGGCTGGCGGTTCGAGTTGGAAACGGCCCTTGTCGACAACTCTTCACTCACACATGAATAGAAGATTCGGGGAGAAGAAAACTCGACACCTGGTGTGGCTATTCACGAACGTAGAAAAACTAGTTTTTGACTCTGGTGTGGCGAGGCCCTCAGTGTCCATCTTTTTCGTTTTCTGCAGAGTG